GCAATTAATAGTTGCCTTCTTGGCAAATGAACGGAACTGATTGGGGTTTTATTGTGAAAAACTACGAAGAGGAACTCTTTACTTTTATTACAACACTGCCTACACTGACTTCAATGTATGTGCAAAGTTTCAGGAAAATCTACCAGTGTGGTATTTTTATGGACCATCTCAAAATTCAGTTACATCTACTACAGGATTGTATGGGGAAATGCTTTTTTCGCACCTCAAAAACGAATTACAGACATTGTAAATCTTACATTGATATAAGTTATGGCATCTCAGGATGCATTCTACATGTAGACATTTTGTATATGAGCCCAATGCAAACACTTAGGTTTTAACTTTCATTTCAAAGAGTAGATACTAGTTATAATATGTTTCTATAATTTTCAGCAATCAAGTTTTCAATAAATCACTGTTTAATACAATCCATGCTGTTTTTGCAGCGTTTGTATAATTATAATGACATTTTTTCCCAAGGGTATTATTAGTATTCATGCATGTTTTATTCTTATTTTCTATTCCTGTCTATTTTTCTTTGACTGACTATCGTATTAATAACATATAATAATTTATTTTTGAATTTGCACACTGAGACGACGAAAATAAATGTGATCTCGGTGTAATTCAATCGGATTGAAAACATTCATCTGGAATCAATAATTATGATTATTAAGGATGGTTTCATTTAATAAATGGATATCGCATTAAGAAAGTGCCTTAAAATAAGCTATAAATTTTTAATTGTAAATATAATGTAGGAAAAGAATATTGACATTGAAAATAATTCATTCCAAACTCAACATTTCGGTTTGTTCCTATAACTTCGAGTTGCTTTTTATATGTAAGCTTTAACATACTCCAAGATACTAACTGGATGGTTAGGAACATTTCAAATACTCCCAGTCCCAATTTAAACTGGATATATATTTTTTGTGTGTACATAATTGAATACAAATGGAAAAAAATAAACAAATAAAAGCAAAATCATAAACCTATTAAGAAGGTTTTAGGCACTTTGGGTATAATCCTGGAAATATAGGACAGCGTATAAAAAGTAAAATTTCATCAATGTCTTATTTATATTTCTTCATATTCTCAATAAAGTAAGTTTTTTTCATTTACATGATTGTAGACAAACAAAGCATTTGTTGCAAAGGTAACATATTAAAAGCTTTTTATATTCAATTCACTATGTTAACGTTATTTTATACAACTATTTGAAATATTCAATAATTTTTTTTTACCAGGAGTAGGTTCAATGGTTTGATTCTTTCCCTTTAAATAACTGAATTGATAATTTTGTGTTCGATCCTCAAATTTGATATGATTTTTTAAAATAAATTAAAAAGTGTGATACGTTGAAAATTTACAAAGGGATATACAGCTCAAAAAGTTTTTACCGAACATGCGCATGTAAACAAATTAGATGTACATTTTGGAACAAAACAATATATTGTTAATTATCAAAGACGCGAACAAAATTTATGATGATTTTTTTTTTTTTTTTTTTTTTTTTTTTTTTTTTTTTTTTTACAATTTATAGTTTTTACATCGGTTATTGATATTCTACTTATAGTATATAGTTGTTGCCTTTTTGTAAGAATGACAGCCTTATGCGATTAGGCATGCTATGAATTAAGTTTTGGCAGAAAGTTTTTGGAATTGAGCACTATTCTTGCTTTAGTCTCTCTCGCTTTAGTCTCTCTCGCATCTTTTTAATCATTGGCATATTTTAACCTCAGTCTTCTTTTTTATACCCCAAATGATTTAATCTGAGTTTAAATCATGGCTGTTTCCCGGCCACGGAAGTGTCGAAACTGTATTGCAATTGAGAAAAAAATCTTTTGTGCTCAGAAGAGAAACTGAGAGATGATAGTACCAAGTATGCTTGTTGAATATTTCCCATAGCGAGTTGTATTTAATATAAGCACCGTGCCATAGCAAAAGCAATGATATTTCTACACTTCTGTGAATTGGAAACAATCTTGTTTAAATTCATGTGAAAACAATTTGGATCCAATAAAGAAGACTGGTCATTGCTCAAAACATGCTACTGAAGGCACTAAGTAATACACAATCTGTGTAAATTAAATCATGGCTTACCCTTCTATTAAGGCTGTTATTCGTGCACAAAAGGGGATCAACTAAGTGCTAGAAAGTAAAATAGTAAATAACCAATCATTAATTTTTAGCCTAGAGAGTTTTGAGGAATTCTAAGACTATGCGTGCGCACACATCTCCTATATAAAATTTAAAGTAATTACAAAGAAAGGCTCTTAAAAACTATAATAAAATGAAAAAAAAAAATATCATATCTTCATATCTTTGTTCAGTAGCAACATTACTAACATCTTTCAATCCAAAATGGGATTAAATTTGTTAAAATGATTTTTTTTTTTTTTTAAATGTTTTTGAGCTGTAAAGTTGTGTACAAAAAAGGAAATCAATAGGTAAAAAGAAAGGACTAATTGGCAGAAATTTATTACATGTATATAAATGCAAATTCTTATTATTCTTATTACATGTATATAATTTAATTTTGTTTGTATTCTAGCCTCTGATTGGTTAATATCCAAAAAGGAACACAAATTATTTCTGTATAACCTGGTTTGGTATGGGGACACCCCCCCTTGACAACCAGCTGAATCATCTGTATCCATACAATCCTCTCATTTCCAGTCCTCGGGATTGATGGAAAATTCCAGATTTAATAAATGTACCTTTAATTTCAAACGATAACTCGATCTTACCACATGTAACCAAACAACATGGCTGCTAGGCCTATGTATCAGGTTTTACCTCCCCTCGCTTCCCATCACTTCCGTTACTTCCGTTACTACGGTTGTATTATTGAGCGGCAAATTTGAACTAATAAAAAGTAACGAAATTTTACACCCATAGTTATTTAATGATTTTAAAATTAAATTACAAGGAATGACTCTAATTCTTGGCCAAATTATTCGAGTATAACCTGGTTTGGGTCAGTTTACGCTGTTTTATAATCCGCTTCGCGGATTATAAAGCGTAAACTGACCCAAACCAGGTTATACTCGAATAATTTGGCCAAGAATTAGAGTCATTCCTAAAATAAATCCAAATTCTTATGATTTGCAAGTTGTGTACTAGTAAATAAAATTCTCATGTATAACACAGCGCATTGCAAAACACGTTTGAGACAAAGTTCTTGTGCTTGTTTATTGTTTGGTTTTGTACATATTTATATAGTCAAGCGGAATTAACCACATTTTATGTGAAAATAACAAACATATGATACAGACAAGATCAGAAAGATACTGAAACAAGCAACAGACCCTTTTAGGTAGTACAGATAAACACGGTTGTAAGCGGTTTATTTTGCAAATAAATAAATAAAGTTTGAAATTATATATGCATGTTGAATTTAAAAAAAAAACATTTCAAATTTTCAGATGAAATCTAAATAACTAAACGACATACAGAAAAAACACAGAAAAATAAGGTTGAAGTAACAAAAAGTAATAATATAAATACAGATACAGTTAGTGATATTAAAACATGTCAATACACAAGAAAATATGACACTTGCTCTATACAATTAAAGAATACAAACAAACCCATGGAGGGAGGGGGAATGTATAACATAGATATCTTACAATCTTATACTAGTATAACGCAAAAATGTGAAAATAACGAACAACGAGCAATACCACATATAAATCGTGAACAAGGCAAAACACGGACTCATTGAAACACGAGAAGTGGGATCAGGTGCCCGAGAGGAGTAAGCATCCACAACCGCTTTAAGGAAGCGATTGCAAGGCGTCACGTGATCGACTCATGTGATGTTTAAAAAAAGAAAGTTTACGGTAGCCATTTCCGGAATAAGGGGCGTGATATGATTGTGCCAATGAAAAAAAAGTCCATTATATATACATCCTTATAACCCTGATGACAATGGTTGAAATTTTCATATTATGATACCATAAACGTAAGACAAATTATATGTAAAAATTAGAAAAATTCATTGAGCGGATTTTTTTTCAGGACCCTTGCTATCGCTTCCTTAAGTCCTCTGTATTGAGCAGGTAAACGGCGTAATCCATAGTCAAAATATGTATAAAACAACCATGGCTTTAGAATTGGTATGAACCATGCCAGTCAAAATTTGAATCAATAGTAGGATGTATTTGGAAAAAAAGATTATTATAACTATCATAGAATTTGTGAAATGCTGACTTTGAACGACGTCGTTAAAAGCACTAAAACTTTAACTTAAGTTTTTTTTTCAAAAGCATATTTATGCGTGCTGAATCATATGCTAGACATAAACACCATGTGCAAGTAATGGTGGAATATTACATCTTAAAAAGGGTAAGTTTGCAATGGAAATGCTGAGGTCATTCATCACGGTTAAATTGTTAGTTGGCAATTTACGTCTACGTCCTGTAAAACATCATAGGCTGGGAAAGTACGAGAACAGAGAAGAACTTCGAATAATCTGAGGGGATTTGCTTATAACAGACCTCCTGAAATAATATTTATCAACAGGAAGTGATGTGGTTTAAGATTCAAGGTGAAAATATATTTATAAACGTTTCAAAAAGTGATGCTTTCAAAATTTAAGAAACATTTCGGTAAAATGCCATTGGATAAGTTTTGGATATTTTATTGAAAACAAGATTCTAATAGTGTGCAAAATTCGGAGGAATTGTTAATTTGTGTGCATTGGAAGTGCATTTTTAACAAGATTCTAATGCTGTGAAAAATGCGAAGTAATTGATTCCGTGTGCTTGGGAATTACCCTTTTTAGCAAAATAAATTCTAATAGTGTGGCAAATTCGGAGTAATTCTTATTTTTCATGTGTATTGGAAATACATTTTAAACCCCTTTATCTCTTTTGTCCATTGTTTAATTATGTTTAATGCACAGTTGGATATTTAGATATCCAACTGATAGGCAATTGGATATTTGTTTGAATATCCAACTGATGGACAGTTGGATCTCTAAATATCCAACTAGTGATGGTTGAAAATCGGTCAAATATACGTAGACTAATAACAATGGGTGACGTCATTGAAGTTTTTTAACTATTGTTAATTCAATTGACAAACCATCCTCGCTATCTAAATGTTGAATTAAAAGCAAGACATTTCTTCTTCTAATGTTAAGGTTTTTGAAAAAGTTATACTTCTTAAGAATTTTAAAACATGGTTAACTAATAAAGGAACATATTAAGTGCCAATCACTATCAGTATTCCAAAGGTGGTTGGGAAGTATATTAATTGGTGTTTCATACCAATTCTAAGGTCATTGTATTTATACTAATTTAGAGGACTCACTGTGGGTATGACCAGGTCGACGGGGGTACTTACTCCTTCTAGGCACCTGATTCCGCATCTGGTATTTCCAGTGGTCCATTATTTCCTTATTAATAATTCGTATTGTATACAGGATCTACGGGATTGATCAATGTTCGTTATCCTTAATTTCTTAAAGACTTGCTCTCTAAAGATTACACAAATAGTGTGAATGAGAAATGCCGGCATCTTATTAATATAAATAAAAAGTTACAAATTTATATCATTAAAGAACAAATTTCTAAAGTGATTTTTTCAGTGTTAAACATTTTCATACATTGGTTTTGTTCATTTCCTTACTTTTATTTAAGTTTTGACAGAACAAATCTCAAAACACCTCTTTGATGATTGGATTATTGTCAATCAAAAATTATATATATATGATACTGATTGCCTGTGAAACTCCAGAAAAAAATCGAAACACGCAGGATCTAAACTGATCGATCCCTTGCAATTTGATGCAGAAATGTTAGTAATTCAAATTATTAAACGTTAATCGTACTCAAAATATACTATTTTCACCTCTTTCCGGTGAACACATGGTGTATACAAATGGGGTATTATAATTCTAACTGAGGAGGCTGCATATGTCATATGAATGTTTGGAAAAGACATTATTTGGGGGAAAAAATAACATCGAGAACATATTTGAAAGCAGATTTTTAGCTTGCCCTATTAGCTTGTCTCCAAATTGCAGTTGTATGGTACATGTACATTATTTTTATTCATTTATTTGTAAAATTGTCAATAAAAATTGTTTAAACTCTCAGTAATCAGAAAAAATGTGTAAACAACTGAAAAGATACATCCACAAACAATCTTATCATCATGGAAAAATATGAATCAATTAAAAATACTAGAATTTAATCGATAAAGAAAAATCTTTCTAAGTCTTTCAAAACTTTTCAAAAAGTGGACTCTCTTTCTTCCTGGTTTTGAATGATAAATTAGTAAGCTGAGCCTTGTTTGAAAACGGAATAAATCCAACATGATCATATAATTCCTTGCATTCGCTGTCTATAACTTGCACAGCCTCCCACTTCATGCGCATGCGCCATGTTATAGATGTCACTGTAGAGTTTCCTCGGACCGTGTTGTAATATTTCCTATTTTTTCGACCAGCCATCGTATGATTATACACATATTTCTTCATAGAAGGTAAAACTTTTGTATTTGTAAAGTTATGTAGATCGTACATTGATTCCAAGGGATTTTCAGCCAGATATTCATACAGTTGTGTTTTTATTCTGTGAGGAAATTTTAACTTTAAATAATAACTTCGCATGATATCCATCAGCATTCTATTACAAAATGACTTAGCACTTATTCTTAAGTTTGTATCATTCACAAAACGTCCTCGATAACGAGAAAACATAACCCCTCGTGGATCCCTTATAAGGTGTATGACCTTCAGATCTGGAATTAGTTCAAGGAGAAGAGCGACGACTTCCATAGCGAGGCGAATTGTTTTTATAAAAACACTCTTGTTGACACACATCTCTTGCATTTTCATTGTACACACATCAGTTTTATTAGTGATATTTTTACTTTTTAAGCAATCAGCATATTGATCTTGTGTGTTGCTCATAGATGGTATGGTCATGACTTGTAGAATGTGCTTATCAACGTGCTGAAAGTCGCATAAGAATAAGTTTAAAATATTCCGCACTATATAACTTCCATCTTCAAGTTTTGTTTTTGGTAATCTAAAAAAAAGAATATTGTAGTTTAACAAAGCTGTGGAAATATCTTCCTTCATTTTGCTGGGTATCATGCATATAATGATTATGCTGTTCTATTCCAAAGAAGACAGATAAGTATTTTGCACTGGAACATCAAGATTAATCTTTAGCTTTGTGTCTTTTATAAAATTGTATTATATTCTTGATATGTGATATTCTTTCGTGCTTTATAATCAAATGATATAAGTATTTATTACATTTTCAACAGTAAAATACTGTGAATTATTTATTGAATAAGTGATATTCTGTCACAGCGTGAAAGGATACCAAAGTGATATTCTGTCACAGTGTGAAAGGATATCAAAGTAAATAAAAAAAATAAATTCTGGTTTGTCATATGATGGAGATAGTAACTAAACCATCTTAATAGAGACTAAAACTGCCAATTTCTTCCAAAAAATGTTGCTAAAATTCATGCTACAATGTTTTCAATCTCAAAATTGCTAAGCTATGATGCCTCAACAGCTCAACTATGACGTCACAACCTACATGCATGACACTGATTAAAAAAAGTCAGAGGCAATCGGAAATCAAAGAAATTGTAATAAACAGAAAATTATGTTTTCTAGTTGGATACGATAGATTTTTTGATATTTTCATGCGTGCTTCGCACGAAAATATCAAAAAATACTGTCCCACTCTTGAAATGAATTCCATATCCAACTACAAAACATTGAGTGTCCTCTATATATTTAACTTTTTATTTTAAACTGCACTTTAAGTTTATAATGAATTAAGTTTTCTCGTCATAGAAAGAAGGTCATGAATGTGTTGGTTTTAAAATAGGGAAAACCCTTTAGTAGTTTAAAATGCATACACTTCTCTGATTCGTTCATAAATAAAATAACCCGCAAATTACCTGCATCCTTTGTTTGTAAAAGAACATAATTTTGACTGAGTAAAATAAAACTGGTCTGTGAAAGCTTTGAGAGGTTCATATAAATAAAACACATCCGGGGATTGTTGTATGACATCAGCTGTAAATGTTGACCCACTGCGCAAGTAAGTCAGGAGCAAGATTGGGGCTCTCCTGTTTAATGGAGGATCTGTTATATAAAATAATAAAACATGACATAAAGAAGCTAAAACGAGATACAATTAAGATCTACGTACGCATTTTATTTTCGTTTCTCTGAATAAATTGCGCATATCATATGAAAAGATCGCCGATGCTTGTAAGCATATTTAATTTTGAAAAAATAAATTTCAATCATAAAATAGATTCAGGGCAAAAGTAATGCACAAAGCACTTGAATAAAGAAATCAGTTAACTTATGAAACATTGAATATAAATCATTTATTTTCTTTGCAGGAATCATTGTTTGTGGTGCCTTTGAAAAGAGGAACCAGATGCCTAGATATAGTTTCACTTTATTTGTTGCTCTTTGTTAACTTAATCACGCATTTTAAGGATAGAGTAGTTTATAGTATTTGCTATGAACTTAGAGTATTTCCAGATGGCCTACAGAAAATCTTCAAAATGACTATCATTATTGGTATCAAAGACGGGGATAATATTGATAAATGATTAAAGTTTGAAGTAATCTTTACCAAAATCTCCCAAAAGAAATAGTTTAAAGTATCCATGACAGTGTAACTCATGATTTAAACCTACGCGAACCAATCTTGTACACAACTTGAAAATGTTTATGAGCCATCAAGAGCAACCTATTTGTAACTTGGAAAAAATTGACGAAACTAGAAAATGCCTTTACGGAACAAATACATTTTTAAAAGGCACAGTTGACCCGTCCTTGCTGAAACAAAGTAGACTCAGGATCGTAGTAAGCTACCCTTTTTCAGTATAAACTTCTAAACATTCTTTGAAAATTATAACATTTTGGGCCTGACATGAAGTAAAACGAATGCATGTTAGAATTTATAGGTTTGAATTGGAGTCCTAAATAAATAAATTCTCCTAGAATGTCTAAATACGTTGTCATCTTACGAGCTCATAGAGTTCATTTGCAGGCAGATAGATCTATGTAAAAATTCAGTCATTTTCTGAATAAAAGAAATGTAACAGTGTAGGACAAATCCTGATAATACATGTGTAGTGCCAGCTGGCTCGGGGTTCAGGAAACAAAATCTTTATGCTGTAATATTTACATTTTCCAATGTCTTTGTCCGAGATAAACTACAAATATACAAATAAGGTAATAGCTTTATAACCTCATGAAGAGATTTGCTCAGCATGTCACAGAACTGCATACTTTCTCGCTGTCTGTTGCTTAGTAATACACATGGCGGGGATGCTTAGATTTCTTATTATTGAATAAAATAGTTTTTTTTTATTGAATCAAGGATCATGAAAAAATGTAAACATAAGGAAAAACTGTCTGGTTTTTAGCTCTACTGGTCAGAGACCAGAACAGCTTATGCAATAGTAAGGTGTCCGTCGTCCGTCCGTCCGTCTGTCTGTCCGTCTGTAAACAATTTTTCAAAACGCTACTCCTCCTACAGTTTTAGTCTGATTTCAATATAACTTGGCACACAAGTAGACTACACTAAGATACATACATGTAATTCTATGTATGGGTTATGATTTCGATGAACGGTGTTGCCATGGTTATTAAAAATAGAAATTTCCTTGAAATACTTTCAAAACGCTACTCCTCCTACAGTTTTGACCAGATTTCATTATAACTTGGCACACAAGTAGACTAGACTATCATACATAATTCTGTGTATCGGTTTTTGATTTCGATGAACGGTGTTGTCATGGTTACTAAAATTAGAAATTTCTGCGAAACTCTTTTAAAACCCTACTCCTCCTACAGTTTTGGGCTGATTTCAGTATAACTTGGCACACAAGTAGACTATACTAAGATACATAATTCTGTGTATCGGTTTTTCATTTCGATGAATGTTGTTGCCATTGTTACTAAAAATAGAAATTTCCTTGAAATACTTTCAAAATGCTACTCTTCCTAAAGTTTTGATCTGATTTCAGTATAACTTGGCACACAGGTAGACAACACTATGATACAAAATTGTCTTTATTGTTTTTTGACTTTGTTGAATGATGTTGTCATGGTTACTAAAATTGAAATTTCTGTAAAATTCTTTTAAAAGGCTACTCATCCTAGAGATTTATTCTGATTGCAATAAATCTTAATGATACAAAAATCTCAATAAAACAAAAAGAGACTACACCAAGGATCATTATTCTATGTATTGCTGTTGCAAAGTTTCAAGTCCAAGTGCTACTTTTAAATACAAACCAGTAGAGCTACAGTCTCGTCAGAGACTTCTGGTTTGGTTTTATGATGATCAATCAATTTTACACAGGCAAACTGATTGATCTCATCATAAAACAAAAACAAAATACAAAACAAAACAAAACAAAACAAAAACAAACAAACAAAAAACAAACAAACAAACAAAAACAAAAAAACAGACAGTTATTCCTTATTTAAGTATTTTGTAGAATCAAGCAGACCAAATTTAAAATATTTTTTCAAATATCGCCATACAAAAGTGTTATTTAGAGATTAATTCAATAATTAATTCAGTCAAAGTCTGTTTCATGATCTTAGGGACTGATGTACTTACCCTTTGGTATTGTAATATATGGCACTGTTGGTAATGGTTCAAGTCTCAGGTGGGAAAGTACGTGCTTTGTTATGACCCTTGTGGATACAGTTGATAAAATATTTTCTGTTTTACTATCTGCAATTTAAAAGTTCTTAATTAATTTGATAATTTGATGAACAGTACAATCAAGGTACCACATGTACTGAGAAGAGCAAATCCTGTACGACAACAGTAGATATAAAAATCATTATATGTTTTAAGTTTAGAGTAAAATATTAACTTTTTTAAGTGATTTTTTTTATTGAATAACTATTTGAATGTATCCTATTTGAGACGACTAGCAACTTTAGGATATAATAAAAGGTACATATGTATTGAGAGACCTGGTCTTGTCGAATGCTGCTTTACAAGCACGGCGAATGAGTTCTTGATCAGCAATGACTTAAGACCACCAATGCAGGCGAGGGAGAGGGGAAGGGAGGAGGCAAACATAACAAATCTTTTTCGATAGCATGTGCTATTTCAGAAAGATGTTTCATATATTTTAGTATAGGTAATATATTTTCCTTTAATATTCATTTAATAACACATATCTCAGAACTATAGAACTTTTAAGGCCGGAAGAGAGGGATTATGTAAAAGTACAGGTATTTGTACTGATTTGCAACTTGTTTTATTCATATTTTCTATGATAAACTGAGACAAACTGAATTGTCGACGGATTTTACCGTTATTTCCCGATCATGACAAGGAGTACACGGCCGATGTAACCGGTCGGCAGGGGATGCTCACTCCTCCATGGCACCTGATACCACCTCCGATGTTTTGGAGGTCTGTGTTTGCTCTGCTCCTATTTTGTATTGTTTAATGGACTTTTGAGCTTGAATACTGTTCGTTATCTCCTATATTTCATTCTAGATGTTGAGCATGAAGAGCTGAAAATAACTTTAATTTTTAATTTGGTACACGGGATTTAGATTTGTTCAAATGAAGGGCCACGTCTCTTTCTAGGGGAAATGATGAAGAAACTGCGAATTCATAAGTCTTCTGATGAAGAACCGCTTATATAGAATATAGAAAAAAATCTTTAAAGAACTTCTCAAGAACTGCATTAACTGGGCCATGATAAATTATATTAATGGCCTGTCCATTAAGATTATTAAAGCAATGATATGAAATGTTGTATGAAATGTTTCGATCAAGTTCTTGAGGAGGCTGTTATCTAAGCATTCTCTCCAATGCATTCATTTCTTTTCAACTCGTTGAATTATATTCTACAAGTCTCCCGTGTGGGACCGTATAGACCGAGGTCCAATGTTGCAGTAGGTGCTCGTACGAAAAAGATCCCTCGCTGCTCAATGACCCTGAGTGCCCAGTATAGGTTTTAATTTGCAGCCCTCCACCGGCAAGTGGTGGCGTCTCTACATGAGAGAAAAATTCTCGAGAGGGACGTTAAACAACAAAGAAATAAACAAATATATTCTATCGTTACAACGCTTTTGAAAACAAACGATATTCTGCCTAGGTGCCAAAAGTCGTGCAAAGAAAACTAATACATGTATATGTATTTGAGACTTATCAAACCTTTTATGCTTGAATCCCTAATTGCCTCTGTATTTTGTCTGAGTACATCATAAACTTTGATTTCTTAGCATCAATTTCATACCATAAAGTCCTTATTGATCATTCTCATTTAGTTAACTAATCGATGTTACCTTTATATTTAGATACATTGTTCATCAATGCACTTGCAATGTACTTAAAGCATCATTTATAAAGCACTCATAAATATTATAATAGTCGCAGGCCTTTAGGATTTCTCGTTCAAAATGCAGATTACCAAATCTTTAATATTGATTTTACATATACTGATCGAAATACAAAAGGTCTTAAAAACGCTTTACATGATCTGTACATTTACAGGCACATGTTTTATATCATCGATTTTGAATTTTGATGATGAAAAAATCCATTCTTGGGATATAAAGATTCTAGTTATTTATAATGTAGCTAAGTCTTTACAATAGTGCATATGCATGCATAAACTATAGCGCAAAATACTTAACTATTTAACTCAAGATCGTAAAACTTATATGCGTTGCTTAATTGTATGTGCATCTTAGGCATCGATGAGATTTTACATCTGCCTTCCATGAAGCAATGATCAAATACAAGTCCAAAGGGGAGTTCTATGCAGATTACATTAAGTTAAATTGGTAATAAATCAAGGTTCAAAAATTACATTACTCGTCAGCTAAGGATCCGGATTACAGCGGTTGTTCAAATTATTTACATCCCACATCTACTATCCATATAAACAACGATCTTTTATGCAAAAAGAGACTTTTTAAACTGTTTCTATAATGCTTATCATATCATGAAGGGTGTTGAACTGATATTAAGCACAGATAAAGAAGAAAAAATATATTTCTACACACATTTGCTGACTTTAATTATTCATATCAAAAAAATCTTCTTTCACATTCAATCACAATTAAGTTCATTCAAGTCAATTCTGATTCTATCTCAAAATATATTGTATTGAACAATCAGAATGATTATGATAATATGTTGAACAGATTTTCATTTTTCGCTAGCTACAGAATTCCCATACTAAATTGAAACTAAAAAATTTGAATGTTTGAAGATTGAAAACGCCAAGATATAATTGCTTGAAACGTTTGGAAACGCTACAAATTTAATCTTTATTTGATGCTTTATCTTTAATGTGTGCAGCTTGGCGCACAAAAACTAAGTCTTTAACTATTTCTTGTGTTATTTTGTGTAATAAAATTGAAACGTGGAGATAACGAACAGTATTTAAGCTCAAAAGTCCATTAAACAATACAAAATAGGAGTAGAGCAAACAAGGACCTCCAAAAACATCAGAGATGGGATCAGGTGCCATGGAGGAGTGAGCATCCCCTGCCGACCTCTCACACCGGCCATGTGCTCCTTGTCTTGATCGGGAAATAACGGAAAAACCTGTCGACAATTCAGTGTGTAAACAAGGGCCTAACAATTAGTATGAAAAACGTCAGTCAGCATATGACTTAATGGTAGACTGTATTTGCTGACAAGGTCATTGTATCGACCATAGAACTTAAAAAATGATTACTTTAAATGAGACTATTGATACATGTATTATTTTTTCATCAGCTTGTTTGTCAATAACTCACCTCGTTTTAGAAATTGTTCATGCGTAGAGCATGTTCTTGTGTATAGAACTAACTGAGAGATATACACCCCATATGCAGGTGATAAGGGTATATTGCTACATAAGGACGTTGACGATTGAAAAGTTTAAGTCATCACGTTTATCATAAAGCTTTGTTGTTATATTACCATTAATGTCTTTTTCTAGTAAAATATCCAAATATGAAACAGATGTGTCAAAAACGACCCTTTTAAAAATTAATTTCAGTGAGGGTTCCAATTACCATAAATGACAACTAACAAATGCAGTTCTGAAAAAGAAGACATTTTTTGTTTGTTATTGGTTTTTTGGTTTTGTTTTGTTTCTTTCTTTGTTTTGTTTGGTTTTTTAACTCAATTTGCACCGATCTTATTCAATTAAAATGAAATTACTCCCATTTAAACTAGTTATGCTTGGTATTGTGGGGCAGAGATGATTCATATTCATTGCCTTTTTTTGCTGTTATGTAATTCAGAATAAAGAGAAAAGATTATAATTTATCTTCATAAAAGCAAGGCCTTATTACGTAAGAGGTAGGGATATACTACAAGTCATTTTGTCAACAGTCTTACCTTTTGAAAACAGAGTAAAGAAAATGACAATTGCTACCAGAAAGAAAACATATATTCCCTGGCGTCTTCTGAATGGTGTAAGCACTGTACATACGGGCTTCATGTTGTCAGGTGCCTGAAAATGCATATATTCTTGTAACACTTATGACGAATCGAGAGGAAAACTTTGCTTGTTCAAGTTTTGTTGATAAGTTGGTAAAATTTGTATCTTTAATTTAATGAATTAATATTTTTATTGTATCACTAACTTTTTTCTTAGTCCATGGTGTGTTCAGATCCATGCATTTCAGGGATTAGCCTCAACATAATCAATACGCATGAAACTGATTTTTCCTGCCCATGGAACACACGTTAAATGTCACGAATGAATGTAGTAGTACATCCTTTTTACTGAAGAGAAAAAGATGGAGTTCTGAGGACAGGACAAGAGGAAACTTAAAGAGAGGTCAAAAGTGCTCGCCCTACCAAGAAAGCATTTAATTCATATTTTCAACAACAAACGCAACCACAAGCCAAAAAAATGTCATCTATTCGTGCATTTTCATATCAGTTTTAAATTTATGACATTTAATATACAAGAAGAATGTAATGTTGCACATCTTGTTGAATCTTGACAATTAAAGAGCTTTGGTACGATATTCAGTCCGCAGGTGCTCATATACATGTACACCCAGACAATTATACCGTTTTTAAGAGTCCGATTATCTATTTCATATTCACTTTCTTGATATAAAATGTAATACAGTAAAAAACACATAAAAGCTCTCTAACTGTGTAAAACATATGTCAATTGTTTTGAAGTGTATTATGCAATCAAAAATGCTGTTGATTTTAAAATATTTTGATCATAATAGATAACATTAAAATCTGAAGGGGAAGTGCTCGTATTCCGAAAAAGTTGAGAAACTGATGATTCAGAATTTGGCATTCTTTTACTCTGTGCAGTTTTAAATTTTTGTCAACGATTTTTTTTTTTTTTTTTTGATGGGAAGATTTTCCTCAGTCAAAATGATTTGTGAATAAAGGATGCTGTATTCATCATAGACAATATTTATGTAGTCTTTGTAGACTATGTCTTCCAAAAATCTGCTGGAATTCTGATGGACATGATTGTGATCCTTAATTAGTCTACTTGTTTTCATATTCTTATGAAGCAGAACATACTCATAAACTTCTTCCTGAGAGGAAGAAAAGTCTAGTTATAGCCTTCAATTCAATGTTTAGAAATATCGACGAGTTTTTATTAACAAAAGTTAGAATAATTCATATATCAATATATCACAGTGAACTAGAAATATAAGATACAACAGAGGCTGTCCCATCTATTTCAATATACCTGCAGGCGTGACCGTAGGACAGGGGATGCTTACTCCTCCTAGGCACCTGATCCCACCTCTGGATTTTCCTTGGTTCCGACCTGGTTCTTTTGGTTTATATGATTTCATTATCAAATTTACATGGTTATGTCAATGATTGCTGTATAAAGGCATTAGACTAAATTCAAGAAGTGTCTAAATTTGGCAACTCTAATTTCAATTCAGTAATCAATTGATAGACAACCTTTATCCAAACTGATACTGTTTGTTAAATTAGGATCAGTTGTTAACTGGACAAGAAAAAATGCCTTCGATACGTGCGCGTCGCAAACAATGAATTGCTTCCCTTACAACAGAAAGCCAATTGGTAGCTCAGTGCAGTCCAAAAAATACTAAATCTGGTAAAATTATTCAAAATAAACCAAATATTGCCATTATTCAAAGTAGAGTTTTTCTCAATTTAATTTTCCCTTCATTATGGTTGGCACCAACTGATTTTAATTGACTGGACAGAGTACGAATAATGCTAAAAATTGAACCATCGATTTCAACAACTTTTTTCATTAATACTAAAATTTCTTAGGCAGATTATGCTGCAATCATTCATGATCAAAATATTTTAAACAAAAAAAATATAATTATTATTATTAAAAAAAATCATCGCTTTTTTTATATATGTATAATTAAAACAGCTCAATATTTGAGGCAATTCTTATAGTTTAAATCACGGAAATTAATGTAAAATATGTCCAGATGATAGGGCCCTTAAATACGATATGTTAAACCTCACTCAATTTGTATTGGCAAAAGCTGACTGTAAATTGTTCTGAATCTCTTTAATTTGTCAAAATTCATCCAGATTTTAGTCTTTAATTGCAGTTTTATTCAACTTTTGCAAATATTTTAAACACGTTGATTTTACTTTAAGGAAAATGATAATTTAGGTAAAACACTAATAGAAATATAATATTCACAAGTTTCCTTTTTTAAAAACCGCAATAAAATGATTGGGTAGTTACCATGTTGTTATTGAAAGTTACTAGATGTAATGTAACGTTGAATAGTGCATATTTACTGTCATGAAATAAATATAAAAATGAAATTAAAAAAAACATCGCTTGAGGGTTTTTATTTACTTGTTAAAATTACGTAGAAAAAAAATCCAAAAGGTATAATATCCTTAATTTTCAAAATGAACTTTAAGTTAGTTTCTGAATTTACTGCTTTTTCTTTCTTATGTTATTTAACAAAGTTGAGTATACTTTTGTACAGCATTGATTTCATAAATTTGAACAATCGAAAAAATAGCGTAATTTAGCGATTTAATTTAAAATATGGTTCCTATGGCATTGATCTGAAAAAAGCACGGCGTACTCACAGTTATAAAACAAAAAGAAAAAGATTCCTTTTTTAAAATAAAAGGCTTCAGAAGAAATAAAGGTAAATTATGTGACATTATCGAAATGTGTTTGATTTTCATTCTTTGAATTCAATAGGTTTATTCCTACTTAAAAAAATATAAATGTAACTATTTTTCCTTAAATTAGAAAGTGGCTAATTGTCTGTAAAAGGAAATCATGGCATTGGAAAGTTGCATATTTGAGTCACTAATTTACTGCAAAAATAAGTTTAAGTTCTTTGTATTCAGAACTAATTGCTAATTATCGAACACATTCTTGTAATTACCATGCTTTGATTCAGAAAAGTAAAATTTGATACAGTCATGTTTGCACATTTACCATAGTCCACAATTTGCCTCGAGGTGCACATGCATTCATAAATCCACTTTAATTTATGCTAAAAGTAAAGATTATAAATCAAATCATGAAGTGCTGTGTGAGGTTAAGAGCAGCTGTTACTGTGAAAACAAATAATCTAATATAAATTGCTTTTTAAAGCCGAGGTTAAAAATTAAAAAAGAAGTATATGAATAAGGGCAACTCTTGTTTCAATTTAGCAATTGTTTGATTGAATTAATTAATCATAACCTTTTCCAGAACTGATACTTGGGTCAAAAGAGGAGTCTGAAACTAAGACAGTTGTTAACTGGAGAAAAGAACTGCATGCTTTTAGTACGTGACGCTTCCCTCACAATGGAAAAACAGTTTGTTGGTCAATGTAGCTAGTCTCCAAAACTAGTGAATATTATTTTTTCATTTGTATCAGATTTTTTGTTTTCATAGTAATAGCTTTCAACAACTACACATTATACTTCATGATTCGACTTATAATCCTTTACCGTTAGCATAAAATATGATGGATTAATTTACACTTGCAGCTTGAGTAAAATGCTTACAATGATAATTGTTCATTTATGACATATCTGCACTTTACTTACGTAAATCAAAGTATGGTAATTACAAAAAATTGCAAATCATATCGACATATCGATAGCTTTCCATTACATCTTACCACAATGAACCTAATACACTTTTTGTAGTGACTTGAAATGAAATTTTCTTTCTTACTCTCATTATTTCATTTCAAAGATACAATGGAACCAATAAAGAATGATAACATCTGTACTCTTTTTTTTAAAGTAATCATCCTTATACTGTAGTTATAAAGATTTATACTTACTATGAGAAAACTCAGAGAAAATATCCTAATCAAGCACTTACTTAAGATTAACAGATGTTCTCTAATTAATCACTCCTTGTGAAGTTACAACACTGTTAATTAAAATTCAAGTGTCGGATATTTATACCTAAACAGTATACGCGTTCATTGATTAACCAAGCGAAACGCCAAGAAATGTAAACAAGACTAACGTGGCTATTACTATCACTGGCAGAAGAAAGTCGTCCTGAATGCATTGAAATATTACCTAATGAAATATCTATTGGCCGGTGAATGATTTAGCACGGATGACATTTGAGTGTGTGAATAAAAAATGACCCACTATATATTATATTTTTTACGATAATTTTTTTTTGGTGTTTACAAACAAAGCATTTGTTTCGTATTTTATTTAAAGTGATTTTTTTTTGTCTTTTGTTTTTAATATTGACATATTCTAATTGTTCCTTTTTTTAACTATGAAAAGTCGAATGTGTTTCCGATTCTAAAACAAAAAGACAAGATTCAGTTCAAATGCAACTCTTTTGTATTAATAACCTGGGCATTATTTTCTAATGTAAGCTAATTTATCTGTGACCCTGTTCACAGATAACTGTAATCCTTAATGAAAGCTTATAGCTAATTGATTCATTCATTCTAAACCTATAATTTTGTGTATTTTAATGCAAGTACTAAAAAAACAAACTATTTTCAAAAAATCGAAATGACTCAATATTTATTTATATCATCGTATGAAAAGTGAAGATAACGTACAGTAATTGTAGTCAAAGGTCAATCAAAACAATATAAATTATGCGAAGAGCAAACACGGACCTCTGAAAACTGAGATAGGATCGTCACTTTAAAGGAGATTGTTGATATCCTTACATCATCAACTTATTTGTCAATAGCCTGTCTCATTTAAGAAATTGTTCGTATGTAGAACATGCTCTTACATATTGAATTATCTGGGAGACATAGGGAGACATAAACTTCATATGCAGTGATAGTATACTGCTACATAAATAAGGGAAGTTGACGAAAAGAAAGTTGAAATCACCTTCTTCACAAAGTTTAGTTGTCAGTTTGCCATCAATGTCTTTCTCTAGTAAAACAATCAAAGATAAAACAGATGTGTCGAAACTGTGTGTGGTTTGTGTTACTTCGAGTTCAATGGATATATCGAATCAACGTATGGATGACACTTGATATGATTTATTATAAAATGTCGTCGATATATCTTAATGTTGAATTGAAGGACACAGAAAAAGACTTCTTCTTTTCATGTAGACTGTTTTTTAATAAATTCTGCTTGATATGAATACAAAAACAGAAATGCTATTGACAAGGCACAATTAGTACCCATGAGAATTTAAACAGATTGTTTGATGACCTGGTCTCCAAAACCTACATAGCTATTGTCAATCAGAAACTCAAGCATCTTTTTAATATCAAACTCGGAATGCTTGTGTGTAGAATCAGAATGTTTTTGTAACAAAATAAGTTTGCAGGCGACCAATGACAAGGTATGCAAAATTACGAGTTATTTCATTGACTGTGAAGAATAAAATATGTGAAGATAAAGAACAGTGATCGATCGAAAAAAAAGACAAACAATACAAACTTGTGAACAGGCATAAAACAATGACCCCTGGAAATTCCAGAGGTGGGATCAGCTGCCTAAGAGGAGTAAGCACCCCCTGTCGACAGGTCACTCCCGCCGTGAGCCCTTATGTATTGATCAGGGGGACGGAGTAATCCGTAATCAAATTTAATATAAAAAACAAAGGCCTAACAATGGGTATGTAATATTCAGTCATAATACGACCCAATGATAGGTTGTATTTGCTAACAAGATCATTGTAACGACCATAAAATTTGCAAATTTCTTATATTAAACGAGGCTGTTGAAATCCCTGTAATATCAACTCATTTGTCTGTAATCTGCCTCGGATTAAAAATTGATTGTACTCAGAGCATGCTCATGAGTATCGAATAAATGGGAGACATAAACACCACATACAGATGACAGTGGGACATGGAAAGATGACGAGGGAAAAGCTGAAATCTCATTTGTCATATAGTTTAGTTATTTGTTATTTGGCCCTTATCTTCTATAGTCAGTTAAACATCCAAATATAAAACAGATGTGGCAGACTCTGTTTACTGGGATATGTCGAGTCGACATATAAATGGAAGTAACTGTTGTTAACTGATAAAACGTCATCGATATATCTGAATGTCGAGTTGAAAGACACAGCACTTTTTTACTCATGTAGAAGGTTTTGAATAAATTCTGCTTCATAGACATATAAAACAGTTTGGCTAATAAAGGAACACAATTAATGCCCAGCAGATTGTTGGAAAACCTGGTCTCCAAAGACTATAAAGATGTTGTCAATGAGGAATTCCAGCATCTTTTTATATCGATTCCAGAGTACTTATGTTTTTAATCAGAGTGATGTTTTACAAAGTAATTCTATAGACGATCTATCATAAGGTATGAAAATTTCATTGTGTATTTTAATGCACGTAGTAAAAAAAAAGATTCCATTTTTATTGAAGAATCAGTTGTCTATATGATATAAATATATAAAGTTTTTAATTTTTCGAGAGAAATAGTTGTATAAAGTGTAGAATGAAATACAGAGATAACGAACAGAATTCAAGTTCCAAAGTCCATTCATACAATTCAAATCAGGAGCAGAGCAAACACGGACCTCTAAAACATCAGAGGTGGGATCAGGTGCCATGGAGGAGTGAGCATCCCCTGCCTGCCGATCACATCCGCCGTGTACTCCTTGTCATGATCGAGGAAAACGAAGAAATCTATGGATAATTCAGTGGGCAAATAATGGTCTAACAATTGATATTCTTCTTTCATCAAATTGTTTGTGAATAGTCAAACGTTTAATGTTACTGACTTAAGAAAAAATTGTGATTTTAAAAGTTCTTTGGAATTTTTTAGGATCCACATTTGATTTAAATTACTTCTCGATTATGGTGTAGCACAGTTAGTCTGAAGTTTCGCCTTTAGCAGTTAATATTTTTATGAGGAGTAGAGATAGGGGCTTGGTAGAGCACTTGCTGGACCCGACAATGAAACTTAATTTGTTTGTAAGGATTTAATGAAATTTAGGAATCCCGTATACATAGGGTAGATCGAACTCACTTTCGTTGACTGGAATGTTAAAAGTTTTAAAGACTGAAATGTGATTTTGAAGAATATCATCTTAAGAAAGTGAACTCCGGGTGTAAATTGGATTTCCAGATGTAGAATTAAAACCAAGTTCTTCTAAAACAGTTGTAAAAATGAGTCTAACAAAGACGGTATGCTACAAGCATTTTCTGCTGGACATAACATATTGTTCATGTAGTCTTTTTAATTCTTCTATCACTTTTGATTTAATGAAAACGGAAGGATATATAATTTGCATATTGAATTAATCATAACTTCCTAGTCCGATTATTCAATACATATTTTAAAACGCTTAATTCATTCTGATAAAATGTTCTCATCTACCGCTTCATATTTCGCATATCGTCTGGCATAATCATCAACAGAATTCATAATTGAAATTAAGTTCTGATTAGAGCTTTCTGTATTTAGGTACTTTTAAAATTATTGCTTTTAGGTCGTCATTTTCAGCAACATTTACCTCACCAGTAATGACGTGTTCAGCGTGACTATATTTGAAAGAAGAGGAAGAGCAAAAACACCTAAGAGATTTTGTTTTAGATGTTCACGATCTAGGCACTGTTAGGTTTGTTTATAATTGAAAAGTTTGGAAGCAACAATTGGGGAATATATTTAGAAACTGCAGGGTGTCGACTTCAGCTTGAATTATGATGGAATACAAGATTGAACTTTTTCATGATTAAGAACGTTTCTGATTTTCACAGCATCTATTCCTTTATTGAAAGGAAATATTTTGTTTTGAAGTAAGTATTATTTTTAAGAATATACTAGTATTGCTTTCTGATTGCAATTCAATATTGACTGAGCTAGTTTTTATCGACACTCAAACAAAGAGTCCAAAAAAGGATGTAGTCATCAAAAATATACTTTCTCCAGAACATCTGTGTCAGAAAAGACAAATTTTCATGAAAAGTTCTGTTTTGAATTAAGATTCACGTTTATTCAAATAGGACAAGATTGAGGTCACAATAAGGCTTTAGTTTTACGTGGGAAAATGGAACGATACAATATTTTTTTTCTTTTCAGTGATACCGCTAATCACATTAAGCATCAAAAATAGTAATCAATCGATAACATCATCTTTATCATCAATTTTCATCTATTATATATATCTTATTAAATTACAACTACATTCCAAAACATACATGATTGCACCCAGGAGAAAAGGGCCTTATGGCAATTTTTACACATTTTAAGTTCTTCATGGATATTAATAGAGCAAGGTTAGAAGTTGCCAAATCTGAATTTTTATGGCCCTACGTCAACTCTAAGTAGGTTTTTTCTTCATTTATATCAATGATACTTTAACAGGTAAACAATGACGTCACGTTACTTTCGCACCAACGTCAAAAGTTTTCAGAGTGAATATGACTTTCACTTTGCATTGTAATGTTACTACGGTAATAAATGTATGTTATTGAGCATTTCCAGAAACATTTTTGAGTCATTGTCTCTTTTAATAATTGTATAATATGATAATAAATAGTTGTATTAACTATTATCCATCATGCAGTGGTGTATAGAATTATGAGTGTTTGTTCGTTTGTTTGTTTTACATTTCACTATGCTGAAATGTCAGGAAAACCCGAGAAGCAAGTGGCTTCTGTTCAATATCAATTTCTTCTCTCAAAACCAAAGTATTTATCTCGTGTAATAATCGTTTGAGAAACCTGTAGAATTCATTTGAAAATCATCTCATTTTAAGCACGGCTTTCGATAGGACAAGATGTCAATTTTTCTTTCTTTCTTTTTTTTTTTGGGGGGGGGGGGGGGTTGAATCCAGTATAAACGATATCTCTTTCAAAATGTGAAGTTAAAAAATATTTCAAAAAAATTCTCGGGAACAACAATAAAATAGATGCTGCTGGGTAGTGAAAATTTGTTGCTTTTT